CGGTGACTGTGGCTGGAGGCTGTAATTACCTGGAAGCACCTTCACTCTGTGCCTGACGGTTGCTGCTGGCTGTCCACCGTTACCTCTCCACATGGCCTGGGCTTCATCATAATGACAATGTCAGACAAGTCAGACCTCTTTGGCTCTGAGCTGTGGGAGCGCGTGTCCTAGGGGGCAAGTTAAAAGCCACACCACTCTTTTTTTAAAACCTGGTAAGTCATCAAAAGCTTATTAACTTATCAGAAATTTACTTTCATAGTATATTTTTATAATTGGAGTATAATTCATGTACCATAAAATTCACCTTTTTAAAGTGTACAATTCAGTGTTTTTTCAGAGTTGTGCAACCATCACCACTACCTAATTCCAGAATATTTTTATCATTCCAGTGAGAAACCCCATACTCATTAGTTCCCTCATTCTCCCTTCCCCCTGGCAACCACTAATCTGTTTTCTGTCTATAGATTTGCCTGTTCTGGACATTTTCATATAAATGAAATCATACAGTATGGAGTCTTCTATGTCTGGCTTCTTTCACTTAGCATCATGTGTTCAAGGTTCATTCATGCTTTAGTATGTTATTGTTTCGCTGTATGGCTGTACCACATTTTATTTATTCATTCAGCAGTTGATGGATGCTTGGGTTACTTCCGTTTTTGGCTACTATGAAGAATGCTGCTGTTAAGGCTTGTGTCTGCATCTCCTTTTAAGGCCTGGTTTCAGAAGTCACACTGTTGTTTCTGTCATATGCTTATTCTTTGAGGCCCTTACAGGCCTGTGCAGATTTAGAAGTAGAGGCATAGACCCCACCTCTCCACTGTCGGAGAGCCTGTGAGATGGGAGATAGTGTTGCTGTCATCTTTGGAAAACTGGAACTGCCACAGGTAGGATGTTAGGGGCACTTATACTGGTGCAGAAATCTGAATGGTAAGGGAGAAGGCAGCTATTGCAGAAATGTCAGGGAAGAAATTTCCACACAGAGAAAGCAGCTAGTGTGAAAACCTTGAGGCAAGAACAAACTCAGTTTTTCCCCCAGACTCAAGGTTAGCATGGCTGGAGCTCAACGGGGAGCTGTTAGTCTCTGATGGGCGCTGAACTCTGCACAAGTGCGTTGCCTCTGTTAGTCGTTCAGTACTTGGGATAACCAGTGGTAGACAGCTAACCCGAGTTTTTTAAAGGTGAGAGAACAGAGGATCAAAATTTTCTTTTATGTAATTTGTACACAGCTAGGAGGTAGTGAAGGTGTAATCTGAATTCTAACTAGGTTTGTCTGATTACGAAGCTCACTTTTATATTTTTCCAACATACATCACAGCCCAAAAAAGTCCAAATTTCAAGACTACTTATAGATGTAAATAATTATACGTTTTTTAATAGATGCTTTGTAAGTGCTCACGGAAGAAGTAATCAAAAGGAATTAAGAAGTGGAATAAATTCATGCTGAATAAATTCATATTTCTTGTACATATAGTAACTCATGCTAATTTATTATTAAAACAGTCATTTTCAACTGGTGATTAAATGTACATTACTAAAATGTTAGGTTATCGTTAGTGCTAATATTTAAAATACAGCTTGTTTCCAACTACTATTTTCTTGCCAAAATATTTTCTGTGTTAGAAAATCTGGACTTTATGGGCCGGCCCGGTGGCGCACTGCTACAGTGCGCCGCTTGGGAGCGCGGTGGTGCTCCCGCCGAGGGTTCAGATTCCACATACAGACCGGTTCCTGCTGACTGGCTGAGCGAGGTGTGGGAGCAACACCGAGGGTTGAGATCCCGTTGCTGGTCCCGGTC